TCTTCTCATGGTAGCGGATGGATTATTGACAGAATTGAAAAATTGCAAATCAGTTTCGCGGCCTTCTCACCAATAAGAGCAGGATCCTACCTCGAGCTACCTGATGCACTCAGCGCAGCATCTACTCTGCTCACAAATATCAACACTAAAGATGATGACCGTTGCTTTCTCTACTCCTTTGTTGCCGCATATCACAATGTGAATGAGCCGGCCCTCTACCCCACATCTAGACGGTGGCTGGAGAAAAACAAAGTCTCAACCTACAATCTCGACAAAGAAGGAATTGTGAAAATCAATGGGGAATACGAAATGCCAATGGGTCTGATGGATATGGACAGATTTGAAAAGTTGAACAATTGTCAAATCAACGTCTTCCGGTAAGCAAATTCTAATTTCCTTCTAAAAATTTTAAAATTCCTTCAATAATGTTCTTCACCTATTCAAACACCCTTTTTATTTCATTTCAAACCTAGGTATAAAAATTATTTTTCTGTTCAGGTACAACGATGGCGAATTGTTGCCCATAAGAGTATCGAGCAGATTCACTACTAGCCTGATTGTGGACTTGTTGCTGCTGACAGATGGATCAAAATATCACTATGTGTTGATAAGTGATCTCCAGAAACTGGTCGAGTACGTGCGGCACAAAGTGCACCGATTTCAATCTGAGATTTGTCGCAAATGTTTCCACACATGCGCTTCATTCGAAACTTTGAGAAGACATCAAGAACTGTGCTACCAAGACGAAGATGTCGTCATAACAATGCCCAAGCCGGGAAAAGATGACCACAAGTTCAAAAACTTAACAGCTCGTTGGTACGTACCCAGAGTAATCTACTTTGATTTGGAGTCACTGCTCTTACCAGTATACGGACCGCAACCTGATCCGCGAAAATCTAGCACGCAAACAATTGAAATCCATCAACCGTGCGGCTACGCGTTAGCAGTAATCGAATTTGGGAAAAAGACCTGTTAAAGTTTGAGCTTAAAAGAGGACCGAATGTGATGGAAGAGCTAATTAGCTCCCTTGAATCGTTAGCGAGACAAATTTACGTAGAAAAAAGGAAATATTACACTTTCACTGGTATAACAGACCAGGAACGGGAAGATGCTACAATTTGTTGGATATGCGAGAATGATTTTTCCGACAATGATCAAGTGGTACTTGATCATTGCCATTACACCAACAAGTTTCTGGGTTGGGCACACAATGAGTGTAACGTTAATAGAAAAACAACAAATTACATTCCAGTGGTAGCTCATAATTTGTCAAATTATGATTTACACTTTATAATCAAAGCGCTGGCAAAAAGCGATTCGGAAAACACTTTTTCCGTAATACCCGCATCTGAAGAAAAATATATATCCTTGACAATCTCAGTCTACATAAAAACGTACACGGACAAAAACGGAAAAATCAAAAAACTCTACGAAAATCTGAGATTCATCGATTCGTATAGGTTCATGCTGGCATCGTTGGCAAAACTTGTCGATAATTTGCCCAACGAAAAGTTTTTTCTGCTGGAGAACTATTTTGAAAAACTCGGCCACTCACGTGAAAAAGTCAGTCTGTTGAAACAGAAAGGGCATTACCCCTACTCATACTTCAACTCATTCGAAAAATTCCGAGAAACTCGCCTTCCCCCACGAGCAATGTGGAAAAATAGTCTAACAGGAGGGGATGTGAGTGTTTCAAGAAGCGAGTACAATCATGCCCTTAAAGTTTTCACCGAACTGAAGTGTGGCTCACTTGGTGATTACCACGACTTGTACTTGACTACAGATGTGCTATTGCTTGCTTCCGTTTTCGAAGCTTTTCGTGAAGTTTGCTATCAAACATACGGGCTGGATTGCGCCTGTTACTTCACGGCAAGTAACCTTTCCGGGGACGCCTTTCTAAAAGTTTGTAAGCCCGAACTGAAACTCTTAACGGACCGTGAACATCTAGACCTTGTGCAGCGAATGATACGAGGAGGCATGTCGTCGATTTACGCGCGCCGATTTTACAAAGCAAACAATAAATACCTCGACGATTTTTCGCCCTCAGAACCATCAAGCTACATCCTCAATATTGATGCAAACAATTTGTACGGGGGGATAATGAAACACTGCCCTTTGCCCTTAAACGATTTTTCAATAGTTGAAAAAAGTCTGGCAGACATACTGCTCACCAGCGAAACATCAGAATGGGGTTATATAGTTGAAGTCAATTTAACCATACCCGAAGAGCTTCACGACTTCTTTGCTGATTACCCCCTTGCCCCCTCTCGTGAAGTAGTGGACATCGGTGCAATGAGCAACGAGCAAGTCGACATGTTGGGAAAATTGGGAATCACCACACTGCCAAAAGTGCCAAAGCTTCTACAGACCTTGCATCCTAAAGAAGGTTATGTTTTGCACTACCTTACCCTAAAATTGTACCATGAGCTAGGAATGAAAATAACTCACCTCGGAAAAGTTCTTCAGTTCCGCCAAAGTCACTGGATGGCACCCTTTGTCGACCTCAACACCCGCCTACGAAAAGCCGCGGTAAATAAATTCCAGGAGAACTTCTACAAGCTAATTGTTAATTCAGCTTTCGGTAAGACAATGGAGTCTAAGTTAGGAAGAAAGAAGCTGGAGATTGTAAGGAATGAGAGAGAACTTTTACAAAAAACAGCTCTGAGCACAATGAAAAGCTTTCAAATCATTGACGATCAATTAGCCACAATTAGCTTTTCAGTAACAAAAATATTGTGGGATAAACCTATGATAGTTGGTGCGACCATCCTAGACCTCGCCAAGCGTTTCATGTTTCAGTTTCACTATCAAAAAATGAAACCAAATCTAAACTTGGAACTCCTTTACTCCGACACGGATAGTTTTATTTACGCCATAAAAACTGATGACGTTTACCGAGACTTGGAGAAAATAAAAGCTGATTTCGACTTTTCAAATTACGATAAGGACCATTTCTTGTTCGAGGATACCAACAAGAAAGTTGTGCTGAAGTTCAAAGACGAGACTGGTGGGAAGCCGATCAGAGAATTCATCGCCCTAAAACCGAAACTATATTCGGTCGTCCTTAATGGTAAATAAAATTTAAGCCACCCTTCCACCCCCATTCCTACCTTTTACAGAACAAAAATACCACCACCAACCTACCTACACCCCTTAATTTGTTGCATTAAACTATGGGCATTTAGCTGATTTAGGCAACATTATACAATGTTGCCTAAACGTTGATTTATCTGACAACATATTCCCTCTTGTTTCCTCTTTTTTAATCATAATTTAGAGTCTTCTGCTCTTTTTTGGTAAAATGAATCAAATTTTGTTCGGTATAAATTGAGTTGCTGAAGTGAAATGAAGCTATCCCCAACGTTGTAGAAAAGAATAATAATTTTGCTATTGTTTAGAAGGCACTCAAAAATTGAGTGCCAAAGGAATTAAACGGAGTGCACAGAGAGAACTGGTCCACCAAACCTTCAGGGACACATTATTCACTGGAAAAACAATGAGAGTATACAACTATAATATAGTTTCGAAAGGTCACACCAATATGACAGTGAAACAAAACAAACTTGCATTATCACCATTCGACTCAAAACGTTTTCTACTTTTCGACGGAATTTCGACAGTGCCCTTTGGCCATAAAGCCGCTGAAGAAAATGCTTTTCTAGAAGACATTTACATGGACACCGAGTGGGCCAACTCATACAATGAAACTGATAACAGTTCTCCCGATTTTACACTCCCGGATTGGGGATTTTTACAGCGGCCCTACTCAGAAGCAGAGCTGCAAGAAGAAGAAGAAGCTTCTAGTAGCCGAGTCCGTGAACGTCCCCCTATAAAAAACCCATTTATTTTATCTGAAGCTTCAGAAGAACGACCATCTAAAAAACACCGCAAAGAAAACCAAAACAATAAACATTAAAGTCTGAAACATATATTTTCAGATGATTTTTACTCTTCGTCCCTTTTATACTTCGACTTGTATATGTTTTGGTTTTTACCAATTTACAACTAATAAAATACTCGTATTGAGCTCAATCACTGTTTTAACATAAATAGCTTCAGGCAAATAAACTAGTAGACACAAACCAAGTGTTAATTCAAACAAATGTGTGAAATCCTTAGGCTTGTTTTGAATAATAAACTTTAATAGCATGACAAATCTTTGACGAAAAGAAAGAAAGCCAGGAAATGATATCCACATGAAACTAGGACGAAAAAAGAAAAGTTCAGGAATTAGGACGATTAATTTTAATTATCGCGGGAAAAGGGACCGCTTTCAAAGGAATTAGAAGGAATTATTGTATCGCGTCCCGGTTGTTGAGCTCAGCTTAACAAGATCCTAAGGAGGGGGTCTTTTACTTTAGGGGTGGGAACTTGCGATCATTTACAAAATCCTAGGATAGGGGTCCTCCAAAAAATTAAGGACCCCTTTCCTAGGATTTTGCTTTACGTGAGGACCCCCCCCTTAGGAAGGACCCCCCCCTTAGGATCCGGGACACGATACAATACTACTTGCGTTCTTTGGCGAGCTCACCCCTCAAAATAAGTATATAATAGCGCCTAATGCGCCAATAGAAAGTTTTTTTTGGGTCTGCCAGCCAAAAAGGAGGTCTTGAACTTGTACCAAAGGGGGAATTTTTGTGTAGTCAGGCGTTCGAACCCCTGAAAGAATACCAAAGGGGGAATTTTTGGGTAGTCAGGCGTTCGAACCCTTGAAAGAAGGCGTCCGCCCAGCCTTCCGCTTAAATCCTGTACTGGTTGTACCTGATTTTAAATGAAAAAAAATTAGGCCATAGTTTTTCTGCTCATTTAAAGAGGTGATCGGAACAGTTATAAGTCTTCGAAGTCCTTTTATGACTTATCTGTCGGACCAGAATGTTCTTCTTTGGAGCACTTTAAGAGTCCTAGAGCTTTTGAACTTTTTGCTTGCCACTAAATTTTGATAAATTTTGAAAAAGTTGGGGTCATTTGGAATATGTCTGGCTGGGTTGAATGGAAAGTACATAGGGTGAAACGGAACTTCGAGCCCCAGAATATTGAGTCCCATTTCTGATTGTTGGAATGTCAGCTGATCCTGTTTCGTTTGAGCCAGACAATTTCGAGTTGCGTTTGCTTGATTTAGCTTTACTGGAGGAGCCAGCAATCTCGTCTGTTTCAGTAATGCCTGAAATATGTTAATTGCCCGTTTCTCGAGAATCAAAAAAAGGGAACCCAGCCCAGGAAGAAGTAACCAAAACAAGTCCATGTAATCATGATGCAGAACACAGCTTGGTTCTCTGTAAAAAACTGCACAGATCGTATGTAGGTCCATTCTCTCTAATAAAATGAATCGACTTAACGGCGGCTATTGTCATGGGCAAAAAACCGACAGTGCGAAAATATTCAACCAATCAGTGGCCTTTAAATTGTCAAAAATTGACTGAAATTATCTACATATTTCTTTGGAATTTCTGAACACTGAGCTCTGATTGGTTGAAAAAACTTCTGCGAATTCGTTCTTTGGCGCATGGAGGTTTCCTCCCGACTTAACTATGTTTTTCCTCCAAACAATTTATCTGCTTAAGCTGATTTTTGCCATTCCACCCTACAACTTCACTTGTATACCACTGAGAATTGAGTTTGACTGAGCATTTAAATGTGAATATCGCTCGGAATATGAAATCTCAAACATAATATTTTCTATTGAAAGAAAAATTCGAAGTGGTTGAAGTAAACAATCTGGGTTGAAATTGTATCCGGGTTGAAGTTTGTATCCGGGTTGAAGTGTGTTTCTAGATCTTCACGACTAAAAAGATCCGTTGCAAATTTTGCGAATAAAATGGAGACGGCACGACCAAATTGTAGTTTCCAGACTTTCGAAATAAACAAATCATCGCAACTTAGCTGGCATGGCGTGACAGACAAATCCAGTTTTTTGTGACCTCAAAATGTTTTGCACCTTTCGCAGTGAAACGGAGATGGCGTGACCGTACATATAGCAGCACAAATATTGCAACCAAAAACGGTCGTGCCCGAAATTTGCAACCAAAAGAAATCCGACGCTATTTTAATTTTCGTGATGATTTTTGAACACAATTGCACTCAAGAACGTCCGAACACAATTGGAGATTCAACTTGATAACGAATACAAATATTTTTGCTTGACTGCTCAAAAGTTTGCAATGTGATAACCTGACTCTGTCATACCCGAGCTTTAACTTCAAAAACATTCTGTATATTACATTTTTTTGAGAAAAGACAGGCAATCAAGAAAGATAATCTTTGTCTGTTCCGAGCGCTAGCAATGTACTTGCATGGTCATAGTAATCCTGATAATCGTACATCTCATTTCAATTATTTAGAACACATAATACAATACAAATTGTGGTTACGATCCATAAAACTTACGTGGAATTGCCTTTGATACGCCACTTCTTCACGAGGAAATGATGATGCGCAAAATATTCATCCACAATTTAGATATTCACGAAGGAGAGTATGCTTGAAAACTAGCTCGAAGAAATGAGGGAAACTTGATAAAACGGTCAAAAGGCCAAACTTCAACAATTATATCCATCATATGATCGATATTGATACTTTCAACAAGCACTTACAATGTAGTGCTGCCGAAGCCCGACTGCGACATATCTAAATCAAAAAAGCGTATTTATTTCGGGAAACAATATTTGAGAAGCTCGATGGATTCAACATTCCTTGAACCGTAGAGCAGGTGTTGTTTAGCGACGTAGCCGTTTTTGACTCAAAATCTGTTTCTGTCCCCAAGGAAAACAAAAAACATTCAAAAACACAATTTAGATTGTAAAGTTTGTATCTAATTTTGCTTCAAAACCGTTAAACTAGAAAGATGTTCCAATTTTTTAATGTGAAAAAACTCATAAATCTCACAATTGCTTTTATTTTCAACTTACAATTTCTTGCTGATTTCGGAATCATTAGTGAGATAAACGATCTAAACATGGTCATATTCTATTTGGTCCTGAATTTAATATCTGACAAAGAAAGCGAACCAAGAATCATTAAAAAGCCATACATTTCTTATCGTCCAGAAATGTTGATGTACAATTTTTTGATTTAACAAAAATTCTAGAAGGCGTAAAAACACTGGAACCGTTTTTAAAAACCATTAAGCAAGTGAAACTATAAGATTTTTCCATAAGAAAAGTTTGAGAGGGCAGACAAGCTGAATGTACATAATTGACACCATGCATTTTTTTTTCAGTCAGCTGAGAAACAAAATACCCTAAAAAAAGAAAGTAATGACTATGGGAAAATAGTTAATGAAGCCCCCAACCAATCAAATTCATTTAAAAAAGCTTTAGATCAGTCATTTCTAGCAACAGGAATTTAAAATTTTTTCTTTGAAAAGCATCTGGAAACAGGACGACATGAATAGTGGTTAGGCGTTCACTTTGAAATAGTCAGATCGTGTATTCGACCCCATGCCATGGTAATGATAAGGTATGAGGACAAGCCCTCACTTGACCTGAAGCTTCGGGTCCACCACAGATTGACTAATTTGAGCTGCATTAGTGGTACACGTGAAAGCTTTAGACGCAAAAAAAACGCCTCGAGTCACAAAAAAGAGCTTCGCTCAACAAAACAACAAAATGGACAGTCTGGAATGTGGGGAGATAACACAAATGGACTATCCTCGACAGGATTGTTACGGCCTACTGATAGCTCCTCTGCGATTCGCAGGAACCACATTAAAAAAAAACGATCAAAGAATAAAAAATGTCTGCTTACACAATCTGACCAATCACAGTGAACAATTCTACCTATAATTGAAAAGGGATAAAGAGTTTCCGAGAAAAAAAATGACTGGCGGGTCATCTTTTTTTATGCGAATAACTGTTTTCGATCAAATTCATATATTTATTTCTTGCAAATCAGTTATATCTTTTCTCGAGGTGTCAAGAGATGCCTACAGAACCTTACACCAGATAACTTATGGTTTTGAAACTGTTCGGCTTAACGCTAGAAACAACAGAACAAGAAACATTGAGAATATGCTTTTGTCCTTCAATCAAGAAACAATAGCGGAGTGTAAAATTGAGAGTTTTAGCAGGACAGGATAGTAGAAGAAAATTAACTGTTTCCATGTTGATTGCTGAACAGTTTTCGAAACTGTGGGTTGCAACCATCACTTCTGCTCATGTCAAGAAACTCGTTCATTTTTTTGGATCAAGATATTGAACAGGACAAAAAATTTGAAAAAAGTGATGGGTCCAGACAAGGTTATTTAGAGAAGAAGACAATAAAATTCAAAAAATATAGGAACGTGAACAGTGGGAGCAGTTTAAAACAGATTCAACAGTCAAGAATAATGTCAAGGCTTTTTTTTAAAAAAAAAAGACTTCTCTTTTGTTGCATGAATGAAAAAAACATAAAAAGGATCACTTTAGGATCAAGTACGATGCACTTTAATAGTTTCGGACGAGTTGAAGTTATCACTGAAAAAAAACTTTACTGGAAGAAAAATAAAAAATAGATCATTTTTTGATTATGTACAGAGCGATTCGATTGTTACTGAAAACTTTGAAGTTCACGTTTCCAAGGTTCCCTCCAACGGTTACAAATTTTGTTTCCGGCGAAACAGTTTTGATAAAAACATAAATAATCAGGCCCAAAAATTTCCAACACAACAGCAACTTTTCAAAATTAAAATGCAAAATGGCACAAAAATCACTCCCATTCCTAGCATATATACAAGCGTGGAAAACGTTTCAACAGTTGTGTTCAACCAGTTGTCGATGCTCGACGAGAAGGAGCCGAGAAAACAATCTCTGGAGTTGTTACTAGGATGATGACGCTTCTGAGCAACAGTTCTTTCGTGAATAAAACCTTTTTAAACGAACTGTTGATGTCAAACAATGAACACGGAGAAACAATAATTGTAGAATTTCTCAATACCCAATATGCTAAACTCAGTACATTGGAGTTATATTACATATATTTCATTTTTTATGACAAAAAAAAATCGACGAACTGGCAATATTTATGGATTTTTTCAATCTAGCATTAGCAGGAGAGACTTTGGTTGATTGTAGTTTTCCTGATAAGAAATTCATCAGTCACATATGCGTCGGAATGACGGCAGAGATGGCTTTATAGCCAATGCAAAGACAAATTTGTTCCCGCGTACCTGCTGCGTTCTTCATGAAAAGCATAATAAACGAGAACCTGGACTACTCAAAGATGAAAATGGCAGCACTTGATTGTTGTGCCAGTGCAGCAAGACAATGCTACAATGATTCTAAGACTGAAAAATCAAGTGTAGTAGTCAAGATTCAACAAGAAGCTCGCGAAGATTTGAAGATGGGCCATTGTCCAATTACAGACGATTTTCTGATGTTGCTATAAAGATGAAATCAAAAAAAAAACATATTGAGGAATTCGTAGGACACATTCAGCATAGTGTTAGGTCGTTCACTCCAAAATCATCAGATCGTGTATTCGATCCCATGCCTTGGAAAAATTAGTGTCTGATGAAAAGCTCTGATTTGAAATTCAGTTTCGGCTTTTCCACAGCCTGACCAATTCCGGCTACTATAGTGGTACCACGTGAAATTTCTAGACGCGTGAAAACGGCTTTGACTCGAAAATAGAGCTTCTTTCAACAATCTCACTCAGTCTATAATGTGGAAAAATAAGATAAACAGAATCTTAGGCAGGCTGGGTGGCTTTTCACAGATATATTTTGCGGCGGATGTGAATCCAATGCCTGTGAACAAATTCGCATTAGTGAACCATCTAATTAATATTTGTAACATTATTAGAGTAGAGAAGTAGAGAAGAGATTCGTCAAGTAAACCGTACTGAATCGCAACAAAACAGCAAAATAACACAGTCTGGAACAGCATATTGATAATTTGTTGAAGACGCAAACAAACGGTCCTGAATTGCAAACTTAGCAGCAAACTAACTCAGTCTTGAATGTGGGGAGATAATACAAATGGAATATCCTTCTACAGGCCTGTTAAGGCCTACTGATAGCTTCTGTGCAATTCGCAGGCATATTATTTCTATCAAAATTTTAAACAATTAACTGTTTTGTAGTAGTGAGAACCTATGAACAAATTAAGAAGGGACACATTTAATTTCACTCGAAAAAAAGAAATTTTCAAACCATTCCATAGTTTTAAGTTAAGTTTAGAGATTTAGCGAGTAAATTGAAGTGAAACTCCATAAAATGAAAAGATTTAATTTTTTAAATTCAGTTTTCAGTATTTTTTCTTCGAGGTTTCAGTTCGATTTCAGCTTAGTTTCAGACAATTTCTGCATAATGTCAGTTGAAAAGAACACTAGCAAAAAGTTATGATAAAATTTATCTTAAATATTTAATTGAAATATGTTAAGCATTGCTGAAGTCTTGGAAATTTCGAGCTCACCATTTTAAACATTGTATTTTATTACATAGCAAATCTTATAACGTATAATAATACATTGAAAACCTGATCTCTATCTTAGTACAAAGCCTGTATCACGAATGATCTGTCCCCTTTTAAAATATGGAGGCTACAGGTGTATCTATGTACATATGAATGCATGAGTATGGCTTCTAAACAATTGAGTTTGATATAGTTCTTTCAACTAGATTTTATTATTAAGCGAACCAAAAAATTGCACCAACCAAATTGGAACGGTTTCTAACGATCATTTAAGAAAAGTGGAGGAATTTGTATTTGGGGGTGTTTCAATTTGTTCTTTCTGTTTTTCACACAAGACAGCTACTTCCAATTCATCATTGGAATGGGTCGAAGGATTCATCATATGAAAAACGGGTTTGAAATATTGAGTTAAAGTCCAATTTCGAGAGAGTAAAGCAATCAAGTAACACTCGTTATATATCAAAAAACGGCCACTTATGCTTAAAATAGAAAAGTAGTTTTAGACACTTCATTATGCGCTATCTTGCCCATAAAATTTTTCATCCTAATTTAAAATTTTAGGGCAAAATATTAGGAAAAAACTAGGAGTTTTTTGAATCTTTAGTAAAATTTTCATTTCTTTATTTGTTGAAGACAGTTGTAGTGAAACATTCCTCATTTAAAAATTTTTTCACGCGCCTAAATAATTCCCGCGCTACGCAGAAAAAACGATGCTAAGTTGAAAATGAAAAAAAAAATGTAGTTTTTTGTGAATATGGTCGAAACATTCTGTGCTAGTTGCGAAGTAACCGTCTATTTTTGTACTTTTAGGTAATTATCGGAGTTTTTCTGGTTGCTCATAAAAATAGACAAGTTGTTTTGCTGCGTTTGTGTTAAAAACATGAGATGAAATGAAGTTAAAGCTGAAATTTGCAGAAACTAAAAATTTGAAAAATTTGGATCATTTAGAGAATCCATTAGTCGTTTCACTAAATTTTAGCACGACCGGTATTCCTATTAATGAAGTTGTAAAAAGTTGTAAAGTTGTTTGAAAAGATAAGCCAGTAAGTTTCAAAGTTAAAGCTTATGAACGTTGTCAAAAACATCCATTACAAACTTGGGCGGATCTAGAATTTTCTCAAAGGAAGGTTTTCTAAAAAAAATTGTGTTTGACCTATTTTTAGGTCGAACTTTTTTAAACTCGAGCAATTTATTTTTGTGGGCCCTCCTAATACACTATAAATGGCCTAGAGCTCCTGTCAAGATTTTGTTTATACGAACTTTCTTGAGGTTTTCAGGGAATGAAATTAAAATATCTGTCAGTACTTACTAGGATTTTTACTATATCTTTGGCCCCGTTGTCATCAGCTTTCCTGTAAAATATAATTAAAGAGCTAAGAATGCTTGTAATCAGAAAAAAAGTTAAAACTACTAATTGGACATAAGACATTGGGAAAACTGCCAAATTTTTTGACCTGAATTGAGAAATAGCTTGACTTTTTGCAAAAAAACTGACAGCAGTCCGTGGGCGGAAAGAATATCGTCGTATACTGACAGATTAACAAAAATTCAGTTCTTTAAAGACTGCAACAGTAGTATATGTTGGAGGAGACCAGGTTGGTTGCTCAAAACGACATAAATTCGGAGCCTTTTTCAGTAGAATATTTTACCCTAAATGTTTTAAATTTGTATGAAACATTTTAGGGCCAAAATGGCGCGTAAATTAGTTTCTAAAACTGGTTTTTCTTATTTTTCAGCCTGAATGGCCATTTTTTAATTATAACGGACATTACTTGATCGCTTTACTCGTTCGAAATTGGACTTTAACTCAAAACTTTCAAACTGGTTTTCCATATGATCTATCACTCGACCCAACCAATGATGAAATTGATGTAGCTGTGCTATGTGAAAAACAAAAAAAAATCTAAAACACTCCACACTTCTTTATTGGTCGGTAGAAAACGTTACAACTTGGTCGATAAAATTTTTCGGTTCGGTTTGCTTAATCATAAAGTCTAGTTGAAAGAACTATATCAAACTCAATTGTTGCGGAGACATACACATGCATTCATGTGTACATAGATACATATGAATCATATGTTGGTGAAGACAACCAGGAGGTGCTTGTAGCCTCCATGTATTAAGAAAAGGAACAGCACATCCGTGATGCAGGCTTTGTAACAAGATAGGGATCAAGTTTTCGAAGTATTAAGATACGTTATAAGTTTTGCTATTTAAAAAGATACAAGGTTTAAAATGGTGATTTCGAAAGTTTCAAAACTTCAGCAAGGCTGAACATACAGTAAGTAAATGTGTAAGATACATATCATGACAATTTTTTACTAGTGTTCCATTCAACTGAAGTTATGCAGAAATTGTCAGAAATTGAGTGTTGCAGCAAAATTTTGGTTTTTAAGCCACTTAGATCAAACAAAAAATGATATTTGGCGCAGAAAAAAAGAAAAAAAAACGGAAGAACAGAATCTGAATGAAGACAGGTGATCGGACTTTTTTGGTCTAACAGAAGAGAAAGTTTAGGAAAAAAACAAAGCTATCGAAAAACTGGGGCGAGAAGAACACATTTTAAGTAGGAAAAACCAAATCCCAAATCTTAATGTTGATTTAACTACAGTTACTTTATTTTGGTACCTTCTTTATTATTTTCATTTAAACATTTAAGGGAAAAGACTAACATAAGAGCTGTTTAGCTCTTCGCGGAAAACCTGTGCTGTGCCCTTGCCTAAGATCTCCATGCAATTTTTTGGTTACTTTTCCTGGGTAAAAAATTGGTTACTTTTGGTTATTTTTTTAGCTGGGTAAAAATGACACATTCTCAAGCAACAAAAACGGATCATGGTGGGCCTCGAACACCCGACCTTGCGATTGAGAGGCGGAGACGTAACCACTTCACTGCTGCTCCCCTCAAAAAATTTTATACATAGGAAGTAGAAATATTGTTTATAACTCTGCAAATAGAATTTGGCTGAGGCATTTGGCTTATAATTTAGAGTCTTATATATATAACATGGGTTATGTATAAACAGGGGCGGATTTAGGATTTTCTCGAGGGGGGCGGATTTTCAAAAAATTTCGAAAATTTTGTCGACTTTTTTTAGGTCGACCAAATTCATTTTCTGAGCTCTCCTAAATCACTATAAAGACCCCATTTTGACCAAATTGTCTGCGCCACAGCCAAAATTTTGAAAAATAAAGGTCAAAAAGGCGTTTTTAGGCAATTTTTGAAAAATTTTGACCAAAAATTGCGTTTTTTCGGCGAGCGCTCCCCCCGCAAAATTAGTATATTTTGGCGCCGAAGGCACCTTTAGAAAAATTTTAGGGTCCGTCACCAAAAATCGATATCTCAAAAAAGTACAAAGGGGGGATCCTTTGGGTCGGCAGGGGGTTAAATTCCTGAGAGAAGGGCATCCGCCCCCCTCCCCCCCCCTAAATCCGCCCCTGAGTTAAAAATAGTTTTTCCTTGCATATCATGTCATGTGATTGCAGATGCAATCAAAAGATTAATTTTATACCAACCCTGGTCTGAAGAAACAGATCTTTGAGTCCCTCCTGAAACTCGGGAGCCTAAGGAAATACTTGATCCTCGGGACTTCTGAGAGCCAGGCGTTTCTGATCCACCAGATGACTTAGAACCTGAACTTTCGGAACCCTTCGACTTCTTAGATTCTGACCCTCTAGAGCCCTCTGACTTTGTGGACACTCCTGATCTTTTCGAGCCACTAGAGCTTGTATATGAATCTGTGAATCAAACTTTCTAACTCAGTTTTTGCGACTGTTTTTTCTGATATTTTATTCCAAATCTAATCGAAAAAAAAATTGAAGAGAAACTAATCTTTCAATCATGGAGAATAAAGTTTTGATTTAAGAAAATTTTCGTTCAGCTATTTTTTTTGGTTTAATATTCAATTTGGAATGTATTTATTTAGATATTTCACCAGAGCAATGAGCAGCACGAAAAATAATCACGTTGCATGATCCGTGTTTTGATGCTTTGAAGGCAAAACAACGTTTTCGGCCAATAAAATAGCCAAAAAAGCCTTGGAGTTTTAAATAGGGAAGAAAAGCACTTCTGCTTAAACAACTGAACCACTTTGTATTGGTGTCCTTCACCTCTAAGATAAATGAGCTTAATGTACCTGAAGGCACACTGGATGTTGTAGAAGACTTACTGCTGTCCGAATACCCACTGGACCTACTTTTACTCTTCTTGATACCGTAGCCAGTACTGTTACTCGTACTGTTGCTTGTATCTGCTTCTGTGTTGCAGTGACGCGGATCAAGTTGACATCCGTCACCCAAAGTCGCTTTGGGAATGTCTAAAAAGTTTGAAGGAAAGGGTGCCAAACAGAAGGGGAGCGGATACTAAGTACAGCCGATAAAAAATTGTGCATTTTGCGCTCAAAGAATAAATCCTGAGTAAAAAAATCCAAATTATTAATGAAATAGTGGATCTTAATGTGGTGAATTGGGGGAGGTGGATGTCAACTGGGTCCCTGTGACACTGCTAGATGCCCTCAGATACCCATCCTGCTCCTCGGCCACTCTCTCCTCCTGCGTACTCCTATCACTCACAGCTGTTTGATCTTCATGCTCATCGGTTGGATCTTCACTGCTGAAAGATCTAAGACTTCAAAATAAAATCCAAACAAAAGATTGTCAAAAAAAATTGTGAAATAATTGTCAGTCGATTTACGAGTTTCCCTGCTTGGACGTCGGGAAACACTTCAGGGACCCCCAGAACAGTGTTCATACCTTGAGAAACCATTTTGGCCTCAAATGATCTGATTTGAGGGTGTTTCTCAATTCTTTATGTTAAGGTTTTTGTTATTCTTGATTTATCCAAATAATGCGAAGATCTCGTGTTGGTCTAGAAAAGGTTGAACGATATAACCTTACCTCTGTTATGATCAAATTACCCATATGCCAAGATTATGAAGATCAAATTACTCTTGTTTAACGGCTTGTTAAGATCAATCAAATTAGCGACTTGTTGTTCAGACTTTCGAAGAAAACGGAGTATTTATGCTTAGTGTGGCTTTTTGTTCAGCCAATTTTTGGCGATCGAAGTAATAGTTTTTATACCACATTGAAGATATCAACTCCCTGAATCAAAAGGTTAAAAAACATATTTTTACCTCCGATCGTTTTTTGCAGAGATCTGGGAGTTTGAAAATAGCCATTTTGGCCATATGATCTGGACTACTTTATGCGTGCTTTGAAAATTTTATTCATATTTCTGAAAGTGTAACGCGAATTATTTATCCGTGGCAAATTATCGCGAGCAACAAGTTAGTTTTGTACGACTCAACTTTTCACCCTTGATTTTTGATATTGTCCAAAGAATATAATTTTTCAATATTTTACTAGAAGCCAGCTAACGCTGGAAATACCTGTTTAATAATTTCTGAAATTTTTGTACTAAGATTTAACTAACTACAAAAAATTAAACTTAGAAAATTAACGACTTACTAATATCGACTTAACAAGATCAAATTGCTCACATTGAAGTCGAAAACTAAATCTGGCTTTTTTAACAACCTGAATTTTTGCATGGATATCCAGATGGTGACTTTTTTGTGGGCAAAATTAGCAAAGTTTTGTTATATTGTGTCACGTTCGGGTCAAGATATGCAACACAATCAAGAATATGTTTTCAGTAATTTGTGAATTGGTACATTTAAAAACGATTTTGGAGCAGTATTTCCTATGCACGTTTCATTTTATGAGTGGCTTATCAAAAATCTCAAACTAAAAAAAATGGCAAGGAACTGTAAAAACGTATGTTTTCTGCTGTTAGAGGTAGTCGTAATAAATCGGATGGCTTCTTTAATTGCTTTCCTAAATGCCAGGCCCGGCATGATATCGTTCTGACCGCAATTTGGAAAGGAACTTTGTTTTCAAGTAAGTTTTCAATTATTATTTGCAATTTTTATGTCAAAAACTAAGAAAATGAAAGCATTTTTCAATGAATTCAAAAAATTTTTCTTCAACTTTTAATTAATTTTTTCGAAGACAATTTGAAATTTTTATTTTTTAAATTGCGCTAAAAAACTGGACACTTGACTAAAATTAAGTTTTCAGGGCTGAAAAAATGTCACGGCTGATTCTATATTTCATAAAAAAATTTCTATTATAAGCCTGCTGGCTCGCTTCATCTGCTGGAACTTAAAATAAAAGTCAAAAATTCTTACAGGATTTTCTCGACAATTGAACATTTTTTTGAAAATCTTTAGTTTTGGTCCAAATCACAAGTAAACGGAAATTAAAATAACTTAATATTCGACGCAGTTCAATGAGTATTCATGGTACTTGTTTTTACGAGCGAGAACTGAAAACAAAAAAAACAATAACACATCCAAGGAGAAATTTCCTCCCAGTTTTCAATGGCCAGATTAATAATGTCAAAAAACTGGGCCAGTTGATCCCATTCTTCAGATTATTATATATTAAAGAATGGATAGACTTGACTTTTCATAACAAAGACAAATTCAATTCGAAGAAGGTTTGAGTTTAACCTACAGTCGAACGAAAAAATGTGTCTATTTAGATTCTTCATAGCATTGAATTATACTTTATTTTCAGGTTAACTATAAACTTATGATAATTGATATACTTTTTTCACAAACAGGGTTGTCTATTAAAATACTAATGATGTTTTTTTTCTGTCAGCGGAAAACTTTGCGCTACATTCTGTGTCAACCAATTTTTTGGGGGACTTTAATCAAGTATTCTTTAAAAAACCTTTTCTGGTTAATCGATTACCACTTGCTTTCTGATTGTTCAACAATAACATGGTCCCATGGCCAACATACAGTTCAAAAATTTTAATGAATTTTTAGAAACAAAAAAATTGATTGATTCGTAGAAAAACACCATGTGTGATTATTTGAATGCATGCTAATTTATGTTTGGAACTATGTAACTTAATGACAAAAATTCTTCAAACCGCAAAAAAAAATTAAAATTGTGAGTGAAGAATATATGTTTTTCCCGAAAAAAATCTTCAAAACGATCTATGTATATGACTTCACTGGCTTCATTGACAATTAAAAATTTGTATCCATTCTATAAGAAACAATCACGGAAAAAATAAATAATTTCATTTTGCCCATTTGGTGTATTTCAAAAAATTAGTGCGCGCCAAGTGTGAAAACTTCTCAGAAAATATTTCACTTCCATTCAAAAAAGAAATTTCCGAAATTTTTTTATATCATCAATGAATTTTTTAAAATTGTTTTCCGGCTAAAATGTACGCATTTAATTGGCCCTGATCATCTCCATTAAAGATTTTTGTCGTTATCAAATTTAAAAAAAAAAACAGTTCAGCCATTACTGTTCAACTTTTGCAGCTGAAGTTTTTTTTGTTTTAAGATCAAAGAAAACAGTAGAACATTTTACAATGGAAAATACTTAAAAACAAGAAAAAAAATCCTAGTTCTTCTAAGTGATGAGTAAAAAACAATGGGATCGTAAAATTTTGTACTGCTTGCGCAGCAATTGGCTACGCTTGTTGTTCCTACTTTTAAACAAAGAGCGGAATATATATGCTTGTAGTGGTTTTTTCTTCCGTCACTTTTTTACTTTTTAACTAGAAATTTTCGACGGATTTTTTTTATCATCTGAAGGGTCTTGTTATTCTGAGTCAATTAAAAAAATATTTCACATTTAGTACAATATTGATTGAGAGACGAATCACTGAAGTCATCTTTTGTGATTTTTTTTATTGTTTCACCAATTTTTCATGGGAAAACTTTTTAATTGGCTATGAAAGGCAGTCGGAAAAACCAGGGCTTTGCAGTTTCTATAAGATTTGAGCTATGTTAGCGATTTGATATTTCCTTCGAAACGCCAAATAGGTCGGTCAAATCGAAAAAGTCATACAGAGAACAAGAATAGCGAGTTACTGTGCAAGTAGCACAGAATGTTCCGACCATGGTCTTTAGAAAACTGCGGTTCAGAACGTTTTTTTCCAAAGAAGAGTAATTTTTTCTGCTTGATGTGATAGAAGGATTTGACGTAAAAATATAAAATAGGCATATTAGACAGTCATAGTAATATAGGAAAATTGGACAAAATTTTTGCAGAAAATTGAATAGAATAACTAAATGAAAATTTAAAAGTGAAGCTAAAAAACTCCAAAAACTAATTTTACTTGCTTAAAATTAAGTTTTAGGGTCTTAAATTAGGCATAATTTGCTGTTGTAAGCCTGCTCGCTTGCTTTATTTGCTCGAACTAAGGCAAAAAAATTAAACATTTCAAACGGTTTTTTCAACACTAGGGAAACTTTTGGAAATTTCTGATATGGTTCGAGTCACGACTGAAAGGGCTTTAATATGATATATCTATATCACTCAACCCACTCCGATGATTATTTGTGATACCTGATTTTGCGTGGGAAAAAAAACGGTCGGAACAATAATTGTTCAAATGGTCGGAACAATACATGTAGCCGGCGTCTTACCCAGACATGTTTGTGCTGTCGAAATTGCTGTTTGAGGGCTCCTCATCTACGGTGCTGCTTCTCTTCCTGTAGTCCACTCTCTCGTCGAAAGCCACAGACCGGCTCCCCTTCGGGGATTCACTCGGAGGCCCCTGGTCCTAAAAACACCACTCAATTCAATCTTTATTTCGGATTAATCTCCCAAAAGTAGGAAAACTTCCCAAACGCTAGATTTTACAGAACATTTCTTAGATTAAAGAGAAGATCAAGAAAAAAACCGGTGGAACCGTTTGAAAATTTCCTCCACTTAGGGACTCGAACCAGTTATTGTTCGCAAAAATTGTTCACAGTGCCAAATTGTTAAAAACAATTGGCGCGTGGACTGATTAGGCCGTTACCAACATTTTTGTCCCATATACCTAACTTTACAAACCAACGCGTTGCAACATAATATTGATGCTCGTACTATAGAGACATCTGAAAACGGATCTGGAGATCAATGTTGATCTCCCAGATGTAGTTTTATATTAACTAAAATGTCATTTATAATGCAAAAAACTTCTGCATTTTTTGTAAAAATTATGTAATAGTTACGAAAGTTATGCAAATTTCATTCATATGAAGTAACATTTTTGGCTGGTTTATATACTTTGGTTTCAAATGACGTAAGTTTTCGGCTGGTTTATATACTCTGCGCATTTTCGGTTGACTTATACTGCGGCTGGTTTTTTCATAATCAAAAGTTTGATTATTATTTTTATTAGAGTGGGATTTGGAGGGAAAAGAGCTGTTCCAACTAACTGGACTGTTGGTAGCTGCACCATCGGCCGTGTTGAGTTGAGTGCCAGAATCGTAATAGCTAGGGGGCAGTGTGGTCTCTGCATAACTGTAGGGTAGCATTGTCTGGTCCATGTGAGACTTTTGGTCAGATGAGTCACTCCCGTCAGATCCTAATCATAGTCAAATCGTCAGATTCTAATTTTATGTTTTTACAAATTGAAGTTGGAAGTGTTTTCTTGCATCAATAAGAGTGATTCAGAAATTGAGGCCTTCTTCGATTTTTGTTGCTTTTGTTAGCCGGCTTGATTCAGAGTTTTAGGCGCGTGTTACGTTCAGAAGCATAAGTTCAGATGCGGGTTTGCGAATAGAAGTAATTTCAATAAAACTGTATCCGGCTATTGAGCAAGTTTTTGTTTTCGTGTTTTTTGGCTGTTTTTGTCGCGAGGAAAAAATGAAATAGATAAATTGGTTGGCATATACTTAAAAAAACTAAAATCAGATACTCGCAAGAAGACGCCTTGCTTTCTCAAAATAATGAAAACGAAAAAAATATGAAGTGAAATGGATGAAAACATATTAACGTAACTATGACTGTAATCATGTAGTCATGTTACTTAGGGAGAAGATTCTCACGCTCTTAACTTTTTCTAGAACACATACAATTTTGCTCTAATTTTTTCCTAAGACAGAGATAATGTTTTGAAATTTTTTCATACAAATCAATAAAAACAACAAGTAGCAGTTTTCAAAACAAAATTTTTACATCAAAAAAAATTTAAAATTTTTTTGGACTTTTTTGAGTATTGCAAAAAAAATGCATGAGAAAAATGCATTTCTATCCATTTTTTAATTATAAACCAAACTCAGAAAAAAACCTCTCCATTTCCAAGTGGTAATTATATATTTTGTCCAGATAATTTATGTCAGTAAGTAAATTGGCATGGCTAAAATGTGTAGTATGTTTTGTTGTAAGCTTGTTTTATAACTATTCTTTGGTTATTTGAAGAAAAACTTGAGCCTTAAGCTATTTAAATTTTAAAACTTGAATAAATGGCACAATAATAATATAACAATTTAAATGTTTCATTATACAACCAACTAAATTTCACAACAGTGGCTTGATAAAAAGTTCTGCTGTTCCATAGAGTGTTCACAAGCAAAAAACATACTTTCAAAAAAAAGAATGTTCAAATTTTTTATGCCATTTCTACCCTTACTACTGGGGAAGCATAATTTTACTTGGGCAAATGATTTTAATTGGTGCGCAAAGTGTTATTTAAACCAACAAAACTTATTTAAACCAACAATTAATTTTAGTGCAATTATGTTTGAAATTTTTTTCCTGAAATTGATAGAAAAGAGCCACACGGCTCGAATAAACATCTCCACTGGCTTTTATAAATTTCAATTTTTTTCCTGAAAGATAGACAAACTCTTTTCAAACTCTTTTCAAACTCTTTTCTTAGACAAATTTTTTCCTGAAAGTTGGCAAAGTTCAAGTGGAATATTTCGCTTGTGATCCTTTTTCGTAAAGTTATGAGGGTTTAAAGATTGCCATTTTGACCAATTTGGGACAATTAACTCGGTGTTTATTTCGCGCTATTAACGCGTCAGCGGAGAGTTAATCCGTCTTGAAAATTGTTCCAAATTGGTTGAAAGACTCTTATTTGCCGTAATTATTTTTTTATTTGGAGCGAAATCTATCACTTTATACTTAATATGGCGTGTGGGGAGATGAATTTCAGAAAAAAAATGTTAAATTAAAAAAAAAACTTCTTTTTTTTTTACTTTTATTTTTTCATGTTATTACTGCGCCATAGACCGTAAGAGGCAGTCGGAACATTCAGAACTTCGCCATGATACGAGCAGTCTTGTTTTAATACGTAACCCTAGTGACAAAATTTTACAGTGCTGATTTAAACTAACCGGACAAAACGAATCACTTTTGAAATTTCAAACGCGTTTTTCTCAAATTATGTTAGGATTAGACAAAAAATGAAGGGAACAAAAGTTGCTGAAAATTTCACCAGAATTATTATGGAGCAATTTTTTCTCCGCAACTCCCAACCAAAATTTTATCCCAAAAATGAGTTATTTTGGCTTTTTTCAATTAATCAAAAACTACGCTGAAACTACTTTGTTAACTGATGAGAAATATAAATCACAAGAAGTCTCTTGCCCAGCCCCACAAAATTCCAGAAATATCGAATCTTCAAAAACCTGTATAAGAGAAAATATTTTTGCGTGAGAGTCAAGAAGCGTGAAAAAGAATTTACTATATAAAACCCAAAATCTTTGCGTAAAAACAAATTTTAAACAATTTACTCAACGTTTTGGAGATTAAAACTTTTTGGAACTTTGTTGGGCTGTGTAAAAGACTTCTTGTGATTTATATTTCTCATCAATTAAAATCGTAGTTTTAGCGTAATTTTTGATTAATAGAAAAAAACCAAAATTACCCATTTTTGGAGTTAAATTTTTGGTTGAGAATTTCGGGAAAAAAATTGCACCATATAAATTCTAAGCAACCTTTTACATCTTCATTTTTTATTCGAGTTTTGTTTGTTTTGTCTTGTTAGTTTAAATCAGCATTGTATTTGAGTATAACTTAAAATGTTATTTTTTATCAACTAAGATGCTCGGAATTTTGGTAGAACGAAGGAATCAATTTGAGCAGAATGCATTTTTGTATGCTAATGAGGCGGAGCAAAAAAAAGAAGGGTCTAGGAGCAGAATGAGTCCAAGAGCAGAAAAGCAGTAATTTTATTGATTTATACGGGCTAAATGATACTAAACAATTTTTAAAAAAACGTCAATAATACCAAGAAAAGAATAAGTTATCTATGAACTGAATAATTTCTTCAAGTATGTTTTTTGAATTTAAAAAATCTCAGTCAAATTACTCAAATCATGGATTATTTATTCGTATGTGTGGTAGTATTGACAATTCTCATACTCAAATTACAGATTAATTTTAAGAGTTGATATGCTTTTGTTTTTGGACCCATTCTGCTCTGCTTCTGCTTCTGCTCTTGGACCTATTCTGCTCCTAGACCATTTTGATTATTAACTGGACACATATTTTTTGTTAAACGGTTCGCAGGAACTACAATTAAAAAAATTTAAAAATTAAACTATTAATTACTCAACAGAAATAGCTATGCTTTAGACGAGACTTGGTCTGGTTCACGCAATAACATTCTAGAACTTTTTAGCAGCCTATGAAATGAGTCATGCAATCAGAGCTTAGGCTACTTGAATTTTTTCTTTACGTCTTACCTTCCCTGCATTATTGTAATGGATGATGGAAGAAAATTGTTAATTTAAAGGTGCAAAATCCACCCATTGGTGTAAGCGTTAAATTAGTTCTTTATGTGAGGCGGATTCGTTAGTAGGTACCAAACAGAAAATGTTTAAATAGATCGTGCCATTCGGTCAATTTGTTTTTTATAAAGTCCCGAATTTTATTACAAGCCAGACAGACAAGTCAGCAGAGACAAAGATTATAATTCGTTAAGTTTGCACTTGAAGAACCGTTCAAGTGCTTCAAAGAAAATTCGATCAGGATTTTGCTCAAGTTGCTCTGCTGTAGAACCTATTTGCAAATGGTTACGGATTGCACGTTGGAAAAACCTAATTTAATTTTAACAAATTTTAATCAGAACATTATTAAAATTGTTTTTTATAAAATATGAATAAAAATCTAGCAATTAATATCTTCATCTTCACACAAAGTTTCTCTGAACTTGAAACAAAACCTCTATGTCTTCACTGTGTTCATAGATGTATTCAATTATTTCGGCGGTGTTGAGAGTTAGGTTCAAACTTACTGTCAATTATCTCTAGTTAGCTCGTGCAGCTGCATGCAAAATGAAAACGAATTTTGAAATTTACATAGCACTAGAATGAAATATAAAAAATTACAAGACTGCTCGTATCAGGGCCAAGCCCTGAATGTTCCGACTGCCTTTTAAGGTCTATGGAGCATTAATAAAATGAAAAATTTCAATGTAATAGAAAAAAAATTTAAAAAATTTTGAAAAAATTTGAGATTTTATGCAAAAAACAATTGAAAGTGATAGATTTTGCGCCTATTAACAAATCAATTATGGCATAAAAGCATCATTGAACCAATTTGGAACGATTTCTAAGACGGATTAAATCCCCGCTTACGCGTTAATAGCGCGAAATTTATCGCGCGTTAATTGTCCCAAATTGGCCAAAATGACCGTCTTTAAACCCCCGTAACTTTATGAAAAATGATCACAGGTAAAATATCTTTTCAAATTCAAGCTCAGGACAACAATAGCTTTCGAATGATATGAAAAAAAAACCGTCAAAAAGGGCTAGTTAAAAAGTCGAAATTAGTCTGAAGAAAAAAAAACCACCCCGAGCACAAAGATTCCAAAGTTGGAACAATAATTTAAAATTCAAAGAGCACCACATTGAGCGGAAACTGAAGGCTATCTAGCCTGTTTAAAAAGCCGCGAAGTGCAGCAGAAAACAGGTTTGAGTGATTCTAATGTCAAATTATTCACAGATTTTTTAGTCATGAAATAAGAAACCGCGTATCTTGACAGTGCTAATCAGTTTCTCACGTAAACATAAACAAGACTGTCCGTATCAGGGCGAAACCCTGAATTTTCCTACTGCCTTTTAAGGTCTATGGAACAGTATTAACATAAAAAATTTATATATAATAAAATAAAATTAAAGTTTTGTTTTAAAAAAAATTGAGATTTTTTGTGAAAACATCCCCCCACACTCCATATTAAATACAAAGTGATAGATTTTAATCCTATTAACAAATCAATTTAATTTCTTTAAGCTTCCTTGAACCAAATTGTAACGATTTCTAAGACTGATTAAATCTCGCTTATGCGTTAGTAGCGCGAAAAATATTGCGCTTTAAGTGTCCCAAATTGGCCAAAATGGCGTAAATGGCAATCTTCAAACCCCCATAATTTTACCAAAAAATGATCACAGCTGAAAAATCTTTTCAAATTTAAGCTTAGGACAACAATAACTTTCGAATTATTAAAAAAAATCATAAATGGCCAGTTAAGAAGTCAAATTATGTCTGAAGAAGAAAAAACCCACCCCGAGCGCAAATATTCCGTTACTTTCGTTATTAAAGTTGGAACAAAAACAGTTTCAAACAAGAAGTTAA